GTCTTAGCATGACTTACTCTCACCTCAGGCTTTGGCCTTCCCACTCCAGCTCGAGTTTGATTCAGAAGACTCAATCTCCTTAGGCCTGACTTTTGACCTGCTTTTTTAACACCAACTGTTCTATTTATGTGTCGCTTGATGTTCGCTCCTGTTCTTTTTGATAATTTCTGCAAATACAATAGTTACGCCTGAGAATACTTATTTACCATTTTCCATACTACAATTAGCTAGGAAAATCGTTGGAAAACTTTCATTCCAAATTTAATCCTCTAAACTTTCTCCGTTTATCAAATATGCCAAACAAAAATTTACGTATTGGCTTTCTAATCTGGAAACATTGACTATTTGAATACAATAAGCCTGTATGGAACTGCTACCTGTACCAAAGCACAATCGCAAAAAGTTTAATCTCTCATGTGTACGTGTGGGAAGGCTCCAAATGGGTACAAATATTAAAAAGGCTACGAAAGCGAGGCTGTTTCATAATTTATTTTTAGGCGATAAATTTGTTTCTTTACGTTGCCTTGCTTCCTAATACATTCATATCATGGATGATTTGTTACTTAAACTGCTGTATATGCTTACACGTTTTCTGATACAAGTTAATTCACTATTTAAAATAATATTGCAGCTTTGTAGCATTTCTAAGGGAATACGAAATGCAAAAATGGAGCGTCTTACATTTCGCGCCTCTGTATTAGCTATTTTAAATACGTACGCAAGTACATATTTTGGGAATGGCTAGGAAAGATTTTAAGTTTTCTCGTGTTAACGCCGTAAATAGTTTAACTTTTGCCCAAAAAGGCGTACCTTTCTTTTATTGCGCAAATGCGGTCTGTGGTTTCTTTTGCTTCTCTTCATCAACAGCTCATGTTCACTTGCTTTTTGGTTGGCATAGGCCAGCTTTAGCGCATCACTACGTTTCTTAGATTCTGTTTTAGGTTCTGATTTCTCAGCATCACCAACATTGTTTGTTTCGCCCTCCTCACCTGAAGATGACTCTACTTTTCCATTTGCATTTGATACTATGATAACTGCAAATAACAATTATAATAATAGTGTGATGTCAATGTTCTATTAACCGCGTGAAATCAGATTTATGTAATTGAAAAAGACAGGTGCAAGCTTTAAAGGACTGCAAGGGAAGTCAAGAAACTTAGAAACAGTCTACGCTGTATTAGAATTTCTTTGGTCTTGATTTTGTGTTTTCAAATGAACAAGGTGATACTAAAACTTAATGAAATAAAATAGGTGAAAATAATTTCTAGTTTATGATTTGTTGATTAAAAACCCTTGGCTAAGAATCGACTTGTCAAGAAACCATTTTCAAAAAATTAAAAAATTGTCAATCACCCTCAAAGTTGCAAAGGCAAGTCTTCTGATAAATAAGCACATGCTCTCCTAGTGACCCTAGTACCCTGGGCCTTTACTACAACGAATTGCCTAGTATTCAATGTGCCCCAGTGCCACAAATGCCCTAAATTCTTCCAGTTATCTAGCACCTAATGTCATAATATGTCTCTATTGCTACGAATGCCATCATTGGTTTCTTCATTTCTGCATTAACGTAAAAAAAATTTTCAGGTGTAAAAACACCCCAGCTTTGATTTAAACATTTTGGCATGGAAATTAATGCAACCTTTTCTAAACGCAATCGTGGAAAGCAGTATTTTTGTTGAAGTTTTTTCGCTAAAGTTGAAACTCACCCGCAGTCATTTCAGAAAACCATGCTGTTGAAAACAATTTTTTACCAAAAATTCGTTCCATAACCTTGTCAAGGCGAACTTCTTCAAGGACAACTCCAACAGCAACGGCTTTCGGAGGTTGGTCGGTGCCCTCCTTTGGTTTCCAAATAAGACCCTCAATGTAGCAGTTCTCCCAGCCCCAAAGAATTGGCTTTCCCGAGACTCTGAGAAGAAAAATTCGTAAGAAGCTCTATGGACTAAGGCAATCGTACATTCAAACCATTATTAATCGAAATCAATACATGGAATCAATTGTTAAGAGTGACAAATATTTACTTAATCTGTAGAGACTTCAATGGTTAAGAATTGAAAAACATAATATCAACCTTAATAATTTGTGTTCATTTCCTGCTCCAAAATCTTTGGCAAGCTTGAAGTCCTTTACCCCAAAATTCGACATATTGCCCAATAAACCAATGAAATCTGTTAGCGAATTTTCCCCAATCACATCCTTCAGTTGAGATAACCTGAAGCTATCAACAGTGGCTGTTAGCGAATAGCTGTCTCCTTGCTTCTCCAATGTTAAACCAACAGCTAAAGCACCAACTGCTATTGTTGTTACGCCAGTAAACTGTAAATCTTCCCCTTCTTCTTTCTTAACGGTGATTTCAAGATTGCTTATTTTGATCTTTCCACCCATAAAAACAAATGGTCCCTTCAGATTAACAGTAACAGTGAATGATTTTTCGGATTCAACTGTCAATTCTTTGATCTCAACTGGCCCACCGTCCTTTGGAAATAATTGTGCTGGCAGCTTAGCTTTCATTCTAGGATTTAAACACTTGAGGAATTTCGGCATATCGCTCTTAAACTGATCTGGAAACGAAAAACTCAATCGACCAGTTTTTATTCTAACAGTCATTGGTAGCTGCTCAGGCACATCTGCAGGCACATCTTCACTGCAATCTTTCTGCATGTTCTCTGTGAGATATAATGGACTGCAAGTTAAAAACCTCTAGTAGATGTATTTAGAGATGTACTTATAAAGTACAAGTTTACTTATGGTGAAAGCCTCTGAAGGAAAACAAAAGTTTAACATCATTAAAAATACCATTTCTGGTATTCCAATTTTGCCTCAGAAGCTAAAAACACCACGAGAACACCATGCTTCTGAAGGAAAAATACCTTACCTAATTTGGGGAATGAATGTCTTTGCAGTGCAAAACCAGTGGCATTTTAATGCATTCGATTCAGATTCCGAGGAAGTTCATGATAATATTTTACGCTATGATTTCCTAATGCAAAAATTTTAAAACAGGGAGTTCTGGTATATACAAATAATGTGGCTTAAACATTGAAAATTGCAAAAATTTGAAAAAGAAGTACCTTTTAGAGGTATCATGATTCTGATGTTAACACCTTGAGGGATTTGTTTAGTTTCGAATTCAGACACAAAGGGCTTCAACAGGTCCATGAGCTGCTTGCTTTCCACACTGACGATATCATCCTCTGCTATCATGATAATAAGGTTGCGATTTGTTCTGCCTAGCATTGCAAAATTGTTCATCATCGCCGCCTTTGCCATGAAGTTTTTCAAAGCTTGTTGAACATTGGTAGTGTCATCAAGATCAATCACAATGGCTGGTTTTGCAGGTTTCCCAACTTCTCTGGCAATAATTAAGTAGACATCGCCTTTCTTGAAAGCAGGAGAATTCGAAATGGTGGCTTTGCAGCCGATCTGAAATGTTTCTGTCGTTCTCTGGTTTGTATCCTTGACCAATTCAATTTGTCCTGCACATTCCGGTTTTTCAAACTTCAAACCTGCCAGTTTACTTGTGTCAAAGCCATCGGTCACAAAGTTTAGCTGTGCCATAGATGTTGCAAACATACCCATTATTTCAATCATAGGCAGGTTATCTATTTCCCATTTGAAAGGCAATGATGTTTCGTCTTTCGGCTTGTCGATAACCATTTTCAAACTACGCGAGGAGTCACCAACCTCTCCTGTTTGGGAAGCAAGCAGTAAGCCATTCATTCCAGTAAAAAATGTCCTTCTAGGAATTTTCTACCTTCCTATTGCTAGTGTAGTTTGCTATCTTCAATAACTAGTGAAGAGGGAAATTATGCAATTATGGAGAGTCATACTCTGTGAGAGAATTCGGCAGAGCTTATTCTAAGCTTGATTTAGGCCCTTTTCTTGGAACTGGAATTCGAAATATGGAACTGGATATGAAATTCTGTGGAGCTCGAGCTGAAAAATTCAAATAAAATAATAAAGAATTTCCTTGTTTTCTAATTGTTGATTTTATCATATTTGGTTTGAATGAAATGGTTAGACGTGCTGATGCTGGAAACTGTACTGTACTAACCAGCTGATGTCGCTGGTGCTGATTCATCATTTTGTTATAGGATATGCCTGATTACCTTATCCGTAGTTTTTGCTATTGAACTGTAGGACATAGAAGCTTCCAATTTCAAATGTGTAGCAAAGACAATACATCTAGGATATTGCATATAACGACAGAAATTTGACCAACACCCAGCGCTTTTGAGAGGGGAGGGGCTAAAGAGGGGAAAATGGACCAGGACCTTGAAGTCTTGCAGGCTTCATAAAGTAATGAATTCCATTTTAAGAAAGGAGTTAATTACACGTAACAAAAGTATGCCTAAAAACAGTAGAAAGTTTTATTGATCAGAAAAGAATGACTGCAAGAAATATTCTGAAATTTATTCCAAGCTAATCTATAGGGCGTTATTGCAAAAATTTTCTGCATGCTTCGCTCGCAGGGGCTTCAAGTTTTAGCTTTGCCCCATAGCTCCCAAAGCTCTTGGCAGCCCTGCCAACTCTTGTAACAAATTGATCTACTATATGGTCTTAAATAGAAAATAACATTAGAAATAAAATGTTGATTTGTGGATCTAGAAATTTTCCTTAGAATAAGCTCTGGAATTTGGTATTGATGCTAAAAAGAAAAAAGGCGATAACAGAAATGGTTCAAGACTTTCAAGAGTCCAGGGACCTTAGTTATTGTGTCACTTAA